CCCTCTGCGGCTCCCCCAGCCCCGGGACTCACCTCCTCGCGCATCTTCTTTACGGACTCCCCTTTCTGTGCAGAGGGCAGAAAAGGGAAAAGCGTTACTGCGGCCTGGTGGGCACAAGAAGGGGGCAGAGGGAGGCAGGGTGAGGGATTAGGCGCTCACTTACCTTCCCAATGATGCTTCCGACCTCCTGGGATAGAAACAAAAGCAGCCATTAGTAAGTACTTAAAAAAAAATTCCTGGGCACAACTGAGAGTCAAGCCCAAGCATAAGCCACCACCTTGGGGAGCTGAAGAGCTCTTTCTTGGGACAGATGCTCATTTTGAAGCCAGAACAAGTTCCTCAAATCCCAAACTATCACCCTGGGACCCATCCAGGTCCCCCCCTTGCCCCCAGGCCACGCTGACACCTCTGCTCCCAGCCAAACTCCCTGTTCAAGTCACTTCTCCCCACCCCCCAGCTGTTTTTTTTTTTTTTAAACACTGAAGCACTGAGCTTTTAAAGCACTGCCCCAGTCATCATGAGACATTCAGGACCAGGCCCAGTGCCAAGGAGCACATTCCTAGCACCACCGGCTAATGGCTGTAATAACGACGCAGCTCAGAGACGCTGGGCTGATTTGATTCACCACTGCCGAAACGCCCAACCTCCACCCGGGTTGCCAGAAGGGTCACCCCTGCAACCTGAGTTAGGGGCTTCACTGCGACCCCACGGTCGCACCCGGAAGGAAGGACAGATACCTTTCCATGCATAAGTAGTCGGATGGTGAGCGTGACATTTAAACCACCTTCAATAACACCGGTGTCCATCTTGAGCTGCGTTCGGTTGAGTCAGGCTTCGTCAGTGGTCAGATCTTTGGTCACTGGGCGCTAGAAGCTACGAACAAGAGAGGGGGTTGTCTCTGAGGTGCTTTTCCAACCCTCCCCTGCTGCTGCCTCTCCCCGGTCTGTCCTGGCTGATTTCTGACACCAACAGCAGCTGCCGAGCGCTCTCGATGGCCCCCAGTTTTTTCTCCCTCTCAATAACCCCCTGGCAGTTTTGGGGCCGTGCTCCTCTCCGCGTGGCACCAACAAGCAGTCAGGAGAGGCGATACGTGCGTTTCGGTGGCCCAGATGGCTCCCCAACGAGCTGGTTCTTCTGTAAGGTGCTTGCCAGAGCAAATCTGCTGAACAGGCGCGATCCCACCCGCGTTGAGCAACCGCCCGCCCCCGGCGCTGGGAGCCGGGGCTGCAAAGGGCTCGCTCGTCCTCTGCCGCTCTGTCTCCCTCCCACGGGGCCTGCTAATAGCTCCCGTGGACCACAGCTCCAGCCACCCCTGCACCTTGCGGAAGGGCTTTGTCTACAACTTCGAGGACTTGCCTCTACTTGAAAGCAACACACCTTAATCTAGATTATAAACTTTCCTTCAGCAGCTGTGTGTAGACACACACCAGACTGCCCCGCTCCTAAACTAAAGGTAGTTTAACCCACTTGGGGAGTCGGGCTATTGAAAAAAGTTATCTGTGCTCTGTAAACGCACTTTTAGAGGCCTTTAAGACCGGTTTCCAAGTTGATTTACTCAAAGCAGATAAGGCCACATGAGCACACGATCAGGTTTCAAACAACCTGTGAACTAAAGTCGACAGCAGTTGCAAAACACCACGGCTGTCCAGAGACCAGCAGCAGCTCAGCTAATCATCCGTTTAACTTCAAAACCTCATTTCGGCCCCGCTCCACTTTCATCAGCCCAGCTTGGTACGTTGGCCGGCTGGTCACCACCTCATCAAAGTTTAACCAAGCCCAGGAAAGAAACAACCCAGGCAAAGCGGGGCAAAGGCAGGGGGACTAATCTCCAAGGGAATCGTGCCAACTGGGCAGCGCTGCCTTGCTCTGGGCAAATGCTCTTTTAGGGGAAGCTACTGGCGCAGGAGATTTTTGCCGTAGCAAGTAGTTACGGCCTCAATAAAATTTCACATGACATCCTCCTGGAGTAGAAACGCACCCGCTTCCTAGTTTGGAAAGAAGGGCCCAGGAACTGAAAGCCTGGCAGCGGCAGAGCTAAGCAGAGAATCTAGCCCCGAACCCACGAGTTTACTGTTTACGAGTTTGCCAGTTCACCGGAGGTGGCAGGAGTCTCGCTGGCACCGCTGCCGTCTCTACAGCTTGAGCCCACTCCTCCTCCCACCAGTTCAGCGTACCGCCGCGTCCCACTTCACTGTAGTTAACGTTAATTTGCTTTTCTGGCAGTGGTTCTGCCAGTCGAACAAGCTCCGGTCGGCTACGGCCCGCGTCGCTCAGTGCAGAGCGGCCCAATGGGGACAAAAGAAGCCGACCAAACTTGCCAGGGGGTTATTAGAAGGGAGAAACGAAGCCGCGTGGGGTGGGCTGAGGCTGTCTGGCAGCAGCGAGTCCAGTCCGGGCTTGCGGCAGGGCTGCTTCCTCACAGCAAAGAGCAGGAAAACTTCCCCCAAACTTCTCCTTACCTCTCTCCGGGAGCCCTATCCGCCCCCGGGGCCCCATCACCACCGAGCCCAGCACGTGGAGGGCCTGGCCTCCGTGCCGGTATCGGGATTAAATGGCAACCTGGAGCCCTCGCACTACACTAGCCTAGGATTCCAGCTCCCAACTGGGCTCATCCTTGGGGGGAACTGGTTCCTCGGTTGGGGATTGCAGCTCTGAACCAGGCCCATCCCTGGGGCAGGGGGGAAGAAAAATCATGGCTCCAAACCAGGCCCATGCCCACAGCAGAGCAAAAAACAACTCCGGGGCTGGGGAGCCTGGCTCCAAACTGAGCCCGATTGCAGCAGGGGGAGCAGAGACTGGGATCAGGGGTCCAAACCAGCTGAGTTCTTAAAGGGGTGTGAAGGCTTGGGGGGGGGGG